AAAGTTTTATTTGTCGGCAAGTAAAAGCGACAGCCGCGGCCGTTCGGTCATGATGCGCCAAAATTGTAATCGTTGGCAACAGTATTTGAGTTAATATATGGATTTAGCCAGGGCTAAGAGCGAAGCACTGGTTTATAACACTTATAAACAAAAAAATTAAATCGTGTAATGTTAAACGGAGACGACAATGAAAATGGCTTCAAGACAAATAGATCTAAGTAGCAAAAAAAAGAAAATTGCACGCGCAGCACACTTTTTCTTCTAATTAGCAAAAAGCAAATTTGCACGTGCAGCACGCTTTTTAGTCTTTCCCTTGCCGTTGTTTTGCACGACTACAACGCTGTTTTGTACGACTAAAACGTCAAACTTCCTAGTTACACATTATTTTTATGGAGGAATTTTCGTATATACCCAATATTTTGTTTCCTGCGTTCATGTTCGCTGTTACTTTTCACCGCCGCTCATTTTCACCTTGCTGGCCACACCTTGCTGGCCGCTAGCATTTCTCATTTTCTCACCGCCGCTTTGAATTTCCATGTTTTTCTCCCTACGAAATTCATCTCCTTTGTTTTCAATAACTCGCTCCAGCTCTTTCTCTGTTATCCAAGTTAGTGTAAAAATAAAAAAATAACGCCGAAAAAGACACGACTTTTGTATTTCTAACCTTGAGTTGCATTTGGGTTGCTATACCTGTTGATTGAGTTATTTTACATTGGTATGCCTGTGGTGGGGACGGACGGTTGCTCGCTCTCTCGGTGTACGGTCACCTGATTACCAAATTTTCTCGGATGGGTAGATTACCACATTTGCTGAGCTATGGGGCTCAGCGCCGCGCGTGGAGCTCCGCTAAAAATCATCATTTTTGTGCTCAATTATCTCACTGTTTTAGTATATACTAAAACAATTATTCACCTCAGTGTCGGTGGCTAGTGGCACTACTAGCCACCTCCACTTCGGTGAATAATTGTTATTCATTCGGGACATAACGTGACATTCACCGTCATTGTAGCAAGTACAAGTTCTGATCTGTGAGATGGGGACGCCATTCTGCAGTCATATGATACTACCATTACGCATGCTCTGTAAGAGGGATTATCGTATTTCCATCGTTTTAGCGTTTTCATGTGGACTTGCGAAAAACGATTCAAATACGCTACGTGTGGACGCGTAATTTTTTGAAAACGAAGAACAAAGTCTCTGTTTTCAAAAATATACGGACACGTGTGGACAGGATCTAAGTTGAATTGCTGACACCTGTCTATATAGGTGTAACCGCCACCTTTATGTAAGTGGTCAAAATAACCTCAGAGAGCACTCATCTTTACCAATGCATTAAAAGACTAGTGGTGTCGTTGTGCATTCACAACCTCCTTCAAGTACAAACTAATGTGAGTGTCCTTTTTTCTGGTGGGTTGTACCTTCCGACAACGCAATGAATCTTCATGCATATTGTCAGCACGGCTATGATTCTTTAAGTTTTGGAATTATGGATGGTTAACTTATTTCTCAAGAAAAAGACAAATTTTCCTATTAAAAATATAATAAATAGGAAAGTTTGCCTGATTCAGTCACATTTGGGAACTGACAATTGCTGAGATTCTGTTATGCCGTGAGTCTGTTCAGTTATAGATCACGAATAACACAGCGAGTGTGCATTTGACCGCAAATTCAATTCTTCCTCCATAGCAACAAGATTTTGCTCAGATACAGCTTGTGCGTATGGTGCTGTCTGCTGCTTCACTTTTCCTGCCATTCTAGAAAAAAATGAAGCTACTGGTTAAGTTGTCAAAAACTCAGAGACACTGAACAAGCGCTCTCCGTGCAACCCCTTTGCGCTTCTAATTTCTGTGGCAACAATTTCCTCGTCATCCTTCTTGTCGCTTTCTTGTCCAATGCTAAATCTAGCGGTCAGATACTCTCGTTGCTTCTTGCTAAACCGCTAAGCTTGCTTTACTTGTTTCAAAGCGAAGCCTTCAGGTGGTGTTACATATCCAGCGGTTCGAGGACAGGTTTCTGAAGGCGGAGCCGAATAGTTGGCACGGAACTTAAACCTTCTTCGAGCCTGCAGCACATTTAATTAACCTTCGCTTTATCAAGACGTGTCTCCCTTTTAACCGTTTTTATGTATTTCCCGAACGCAAAATGCTTTTCTAGAGAAGAGTTCCTCTTGAAAGTACGCGTACAGCCCTCTTTTGGACATGGAAACAATTACTAATCGCCTTTCGTTTCACGGCTATAGTCCTCTTCTTCTCAGGCGTAGTGGGAGATTTTGAAGGAGTACGCAAGGAAAGAAAAATGAGAGTGCAGAAGGCGCTCAATGCTCTGGGGGTCTAGGGGCATGCTCCCCAGAAAATGTCATTTCGTGCGTTTTCCGCAGGACATTTTCAGTAAATAAATATGAAGGAAAATGCTTTGGTTAGTTGTTTATTTTACCCATCTCTAGCGTTACGGAATAAAAAGGATAAAAGAAATACTAACACAAAGAGCTAAACACCAATGTAATGCGAAAAAATTAAATTAACCCGAGTCATCTCGATTTCATGCAGAAAATGTTTTCAGGAAAATAAAAAAAATAATTTTCCAGATTTCNGATACTCTCGTTGCTTCTTGCTAAACCGCTAAGCTTGCTTTACTTGTTTCAAAGCGAAGCCTTCAGGTGGTGTTACATATCCAGCGGTTCGAGGACAGGTTTCTGAAGGCGGAGCCGAATAGTTGGCACGGAACTTAAACCTTCTTCGAGCCTGCAGCACATTTAATTAACCTTCGCTTTATCAAGACGTGTCTCCCTTTTAACCGTTTTTATGTATTTCCCGAACGCAAAATGCTTTTCTAGAGAAGAGTTCCTCTTGAAAGTACGCGTACAGCCCTCTTTTGGACATGGAAACAATTACTAATCGCCTTTCGTTTCACGGCTATAGTCCTCTTCTTCTCAGGCGTAGTGGGAGATTTTGAAGGAGTACGCAAGGAAAGAAAAATGAGAGTGCAGAAGGCGCTCAATGCTCTGGGGGTCTAGGGGCATGCTCCCCAGAAAATGTCATTTCGTGCGTTTTCCGCAGGACATTTTCAGTAAATAAATATGAAGGAAAATGCTTTGGTTAGTTGTTTATTTTACCCATCTCTAGCGTTACGGAATAAAAAGGATAAAAGAAATACTAACACAAAGAGCTAAACACCAATGTAATGCGAAAAAATTAAATTAACCCGAGTCATCTCGATTTCATGCAGAAAATGTTTTCAGGAAAATAAAAAAAATAATTTTCCAGATTTCTGCTGTACGCACGAGCGTATGTGCGTACAGTCAACTCCTGTTATTGCGGACAACGTTGGGACTGCGGTTTAGTGGAACGAGACGCCCGGGAGAATAGGGGCGGGAGATGAAAGGGTAGGAAGAGGGAGTCAGTCTAAAATGGTGGGAAGCAGGAGAAATTTGCTGAAATTACGCAACAATGCTTTTAGATATTTCTCAATCGAAGAAGTGGTAAGGGGAGGAAGCCAAGAAAAAAGGGGCGGGAGCCAAGAATGCAAGATACTTGTACGGAATTGGAGGCGGCAGGTTTGGACCCCCTGTTCTACCTCCATATATGGCTCTTCGCTAAGGCAAGGAGAGAAACCCCTGACTTTATTGGCTGCAAAGTTGGCCGTTTGTCGGTTAATATTGCGTTCCTCATCCTCCTGGACACATTTGCGTCCGGTTCATGCGTGGAAGAGGGTCAAAGGAATAAGAGTGTATTGCATACTTCTGCTAGTAAATAGTGAGGAGGGTGTGGGGCAGTAAGGTTCACTTTTTGCCCTTACGCGACCCAACTGGGACTGGCATTCAAGTTTCTTCATAAACAAAACAACATTATTTACTGTCAATTCCACGATCACCTCGATAGGTTGCCGACTTGTGGCCCGCCAGTTCTGCTGGACCGCAACAGCTGGTCTTGCCTGTTCGCCAGCTAGTACCGTATGCCCCGGTTTGGGGCATAAAGACATGTAGCTGGCATTCCTGTGGAATGAAAATCCCTGGTAGAGAAGACTTAGTAAACTAATGTTGCAGAAATGAATAGTCCGTACGTATTGATGTTGTCGTCGTTAAAATTGTAAAACAAACATAACTTTTACTAACCTGCCAGTGTAGGTAATAATTTCCTTTCGTTGTTGACAACCCGTCAAAATGTTGCAACCCTTCAAGTCAGCTGATGTAACATTTCCAGTACAGTCTTTCAAATCGAAAAAGTCAACCACGTTTGGATTTTCAGAACTTACCGCACAAGCCCCTCCAAGAAGAGAAGCAAAGCTACAAAATGACATTGTTTTAGTTTTTATCTTTGTAAAAAAACCTCGTACGTCTTTCCCTTTAAGAAAAAGACATTATAGAGAATTATCGCCAAGACTGCAACACGGCATAAGTCCTATTTATCCAATTTTATGTGGCCATCTTTCCGAAAAAGAGAACGGAGAGAGTAAATACCACGAACAATAGTCGAGCTGTTACCTTGGGGTGAAAAACTACATTGCAGAAACTACAAGCCATCATAAGAAACGAACGAACAGTTCGCGGCGTTGCGTGATTTTATTTACTCATACAGTGAAACCTGTATTAGGCGGACACCCTCGGGGAATGCTCTAGTGTCCGCTTAATACAGGGTGTCCGTCTAATACAGGTTTCGATAGATAACGTCTCATGGGGTGTCAAATGCCATTCAAATGAACAGAGGAAACGTTTGGAATACTCCCAATGACAATTGATCACAGTATCATAAACATAGAGTGCATCTCAAATTTGAAGAAATCAGATGAGTGAAACAAGCTCTACAAACAAAACGAAATCAGAAAACAATACTGTATTGTGAAACCGATCAAATGAGCAAACAAGCTGTATATTGTAAAAACAATCATAAAAACTGTGCCCTTTTCTACGCTGTTTATTGCACTGATACAATGAACATTAAGCATTATCTTTAACGATAAAAGTCATCAATCCGTGATTGTTTGACTTTTGTTTGAGCTTCTTATTAAAACTTCATTTTCTGGAGCAAGTTGGTTGCCTTGCTAATGGCCAACGTAAGGTCCTCTTGTCCATGATATCGGGAGTATTCCAGTAGCATTTCAGAAAATCGTAACGCCTCGTTTTCCGATTTAATGAGTGGTTCCTTTGTGGTTTGATCCTCCTCTTCGTCCAAGTCTTCCACGTGCAATTGCTTTGCTGGTGTTGATTCCGTAGAAATGCCCTCACGATTCTTCAAAATCTCGTCTCTTGCCTTTTCTCCCCGTTTTGGATCTGCTGGGTCAAAGAAACCAGAGCATATTTGAATTTCGTCTTTAGCCGCTAAGAAGAACTCTTCTGCAATACAGGATACTTCCATTGCCGAAACAAGTTCCCGTAATCCTGGAAGTTTTTCTCCCTCAAAAGAATCGTCCTACTCGGCAACTTCATTAGGGTACAACCAAGTTCTTTTGAAACATTTGACAGTTGTTTCTTTTGAGACATCATCCTACGCCAGCCTCCCCCACTCGATAGACATCAACAAGTCGACAGATTTCACATCGTCGCTCGCACTGTTTGATCCATCTACTTTACTACAAACATGACGCAACAACCTTTTATTGTAACTGCACTTCCAACTAGCGATTATGCCACTATTCAATGGCTGTGTCTTCGGTGTTGTGTTTTTGGAAAGTTCATGTTGTAGACTAGCTGGGTAGCATGGGGCGTCGTCCATGAAAAGTATAATCTTCCGTTGCTTCAGCTGTAAACGACGGTTTAAGGACTCCAAGATGTTTGTCATAGTTCTGAATTCATCCAAGCTTTCTTGTTTGCAAAATAATGACATTTGTAAGGTCGAGTAGCATCTTTTAGGGTTTTAAAACATCGAGGCTTTTCTGACTGGCCAATACGACAGAATCTTCTTTTCCACCTGCCGCGCTGACCAAAAAGCCCACTTGTTTCGCTGCTTCAACTGCTTCCCGCCGCTACACCTGCTACACCAAGCCCACTTTAGTATTGTAGTTTTACGTGGACTCGAAATGGAAAAGGAATCTAAAATCATACGAGTGAATTCGCAACAACCACTTACCCTACTAAACTGGGAATTTTCCGAAATGAACGAATTTGTAACATTAGACAGTGTCTTCGCTGATGATATTTTCCCTAATTTTGGACATTTGGTATTAAAAAATGATTGTATCTATTTTCTTGGAAATTGTAACGGTTACGATTAATTAGTTATAGGACTTCGTGTCGTCCAATTCGGTCTGTAATCATACTCGTGATTAAACAAATCGGACTCCCGCTGGAGACGCGGTCGTCCGATTTTGTTAATCACTCGGCGTATGATTATAGACCTAATTGGACTCCATTCAGTTTTGAAGGCTTAAAGTTGCTCCATTTTTCGCTTTTTGATAGCGTTTTGACAGCACTTTGTTAAAAACTCACGTAAATTTTAAAATTCTAATTCTAAAAAGGCTTTAAATAAAAATCTAATGAATTATATTTTGAACTAAAAATATCCCTGATTTCTAACGAAACATCCTTCTTCAGTACTAACACATTAAGGTTGGTCAATTTTGTAGGTTTTTTTGCATAATTAATTAGTGTCGTTTTTCCCCATTTTCTTGGAAACATTTGATTTTTCAAACTTTGAAATATTCTTTTTGAACATATCTCCCTGAAAGAGTTTTCCAGGCAAATTATCAGAATTTTCGATTTTTTGAGTCTGGCCAGCGATTCTCGATATTTACAGTCATAGGCTCTTAAAAGTGTACTCAAGGAAATCTGCTTTCCGTCATCGGTGAGAAAAATTATACACTAAACCTACAGAAAGACTGTAAACCTCAACACATTTCTTCTACTGGGTTGATGATCGCATGAATTATCAAGCAGTATTTTTCGGATACAAACTCTACTCAACTAATTAGTATTTACTAACTTTTGATACAGACGTCTACTGATTGTTTTATTTTACAAGTGCTATAAAATATTCGCTATCTGATCTGCCATGTTTCGTCTTCGACTCGCTATTGTAAACGCCCTGCAGATTTCCCGCTCATCAGTTTATGAGGTACGTAGCTTCAGGTAGTTGTCTTCACTTTTGTTTCTAGAAGATGTCGCAAAGCAACACCATCATTTCCCACCCCAACTTCTTCTCTTGACGCCTCTTCCTGGCACTGCCCACACCGTTAAAATTCTCAAGAGATCTAGTCTGACTGGATGGACAAATGTTTAATAGATCAGGAATTAATCAGTATATCCAGGACTCGACAGAGTGTGCTGTCCGCAAACCAATGACAACCTACTCGCCTGAGATTCAGATTCAGTTTATTTGCAGATTCAGCTGAAGAGAGATGAAACTGCCATCAAACTTACTTAATTTTCTCCTGAGAGTGTTCATAGGCTAGACTTGATGATAGTCTCAGTGCTTTGTTAGATGTTTCACTAAGAGTTCCCAGTCTGTAACGGTGGTATTTTCTGTTTTAGCATGTTAACATATGATGTTATAAGGGTCATTCAAGGATGTGAAAAAAGTAGGTAAATTAAATTCTCATACTATAGGAAGTTCGACTGTATCCTATAAGGATATGTTTGCACAATACCGGATAGTTTATATGTCGACATGAAAAATACAAATTGGGTAAGTCTACTAATTAAAGGCGCTCTTTGCAATGGTGTCGACGGATTTTTCCTAACTGGTCCATGTCAAAAGCTGAAAACCGTGGAAGAGTCTATAAACACATCATAGTTAGTAGGAAGTATCTCGAAATGGTTACTTCCCTACATCCTTTATAATTAGTATTCTCTTCGATAAGAAACATCTAGCGCTGGCAGAAAATTTTAGTGTATCAGTCTAACATGACCGACTCCAAAGTAGATTACAGAAACTCTTTGTACTCTTGCAGGCGAAGCGGATTCATGAAAGTGATTTTTCAAAAGTGACACGTTTACAGGCCATGTCTAGCTATTCGTTTTATTCGCTCATGTCTGTAAATATGAATGGGAAGACAAAACCAGATGAAAGAAGGGCGCTTTTGTCGAAAATAATAACAAGTAGTGGGTCTTCTTTGGTATTCTGTCAGGAACTTCCAGATTGTTTCGAAAAAGAGGTGGTCAGAAAATGTGGTACGTGTGTCTATGATTTTGTCCGCACGGGGAAAGAAGCGGCTGTTATGTGGAGTGAAGCACATTTTTATGGCGAGCCTGTGGATGTCGCGTTTAAAACAAGAATCCTTGACACAGTGGTTGCATCAAAGAACTTTTTTAGCCACGTGAGTGAGATAACTGCACGAACTGCAGTTGTTAAGTTAACGAGTAAAAGTGAAGCTTGTAGTTTTTTAGCAGTCTCGTGGCACGGGCCTTCAAAAATGAAACTGGAGAAGAAACGTGAAGTTTTGAAAGCACTCATTCCCTTTTTGTCTGAGATATGTCTTAAGACGAACGTATCCTCAATTATTATAGGAGGAGACTTCAACTTAAGCACTTCAGACGAGAATGGCTTAGAAGAATTGAACGTGTACTTTCCATGGTATGAGTTGAGCCCTCGAGGTAAACTCGCGAAAGAACGTAAGGGACAAGGACGTCCCTACATCGCCTTCAAGGATAATTTTGCCATTACAACCATTTCGCCTTCTGTGGTTTCCCCTTTTGAAGTCATGAATTTGTCGGAAGTGAAGCCCCTTTTAGGGTTTAACTTAGAGGGAAGTGAGAAGGGAAAAGATATATTGGACCACGACCCCATTATAGGTGTTCTTCAGCTCGAAAAAATTAACTCCTTCAACTTGTAAGTTTTGGCTTTCATTGGCTTTCTTCAGCTTAGGCAATCTGGTAAGTTTTTGCTTGTAGGCCGGAGCTTAACCGGTACCACTGTAGCCAGCTTAATCTAAAACTAACTGTTACTTTTAATTTCTGTGCTCTACGAGATTTCAAGGTGCTTCACAGGAGGAATTTAAATACTGTAGTTCATAATCAAAACAAAACGTATCTTTCGCCCGGAATTGTACTTGTTCATGCAATATGTCAAGAACGAGGGTGAGTGCTTCATCACGGGTTCCAAACACCGAGATACAGGAAAAAAGCACGAGGCTGTAGGCTGAGTGCTTTCATCTGTGTCCAGGTGTTTTGAACCAGTGATGAAGCATGCACGAAGCCCGAGTCTTTGACGTGTCTGCTCAAACGAATCAATAAGAAATTATGCAGTAACATGTTTTCTCTGGTAATGCATTGTTTCTATCTGTTGTGTTAATCAATAAGACATCTGATTAAAATGCAGCAAGTGTTTCATCTCAGTTAAAAACCTGCTGGTGTTTTATTCACCATTTTCACATAGACCATAATGCACCTTGTTTACCCCCCAAATTTTGCATAACCATTGTATGATGTTCAATTTCTCTTGGAACGACTCAAGACTGTAATACCCAGGAGAAATTGGAAACAATTGTTATGCAAAATTTTGGGGGGTAAACAAGGTACATTATGGTCTATGTGAAAATGGTGAATCTGGTGTTTCATTAGGTATCATGATTCATCACCTGACCCAAATGGTCGTCATTTATTGGCTTTTGGCCAAATAAATAATTAATGAGTTAGAGAAGTAATAAAGCAATTTGTTCTCAAAACTGTGGCGAAAAAAGATGTCGTAAGAAAAGCATAACATTCTCTAAGTTTTATATGAATAAACCCCAACTGCTGCCTTCATCAGGAAAAATTGTTTCAATCTGTTACTTGCCAGAATTTTAAATTCTCAAACTGCGCGTGTCGAATGTGACGCAGAAGTGTGGAATGAATAACGAAATTGTTTTCAAAACATAACAACGTTGTTGTCGGAGCACGCCTTTAGTCAAACGAGTTTGCGTTAAAACGTTTGCGAAAGTTTGCGTTAAAAGGCGTAAGTCATAAAGTAAAGTTTTTAGTTTAGCTTTGAAAGGCTTCAAGCTTGTTTCCATCCTTAATGCACTTGGAAGTTTGTTCCATAGAGTCGGCGCAGCCACTTGGAAAGCCCTGTCGCCTAAGGTCTTTTTTAGACTTGAACACTGGTGAAGCCAGCCACAGTTCATCATTTGACCTAATGTTGTAGGAGGACTTCTTCTTGACTTCTAATAATTTTTTTTTATAATATGGAAACATTCCATGTATTGCTTTAAATGTCATAACTGAGTGTCACCTTGAATTTAATCCTGAAACTAATTGGTAACCAGTGTAACCGACACAGTACAGGTGTGATCTGACAAAACCGCGGGCTATTTGTCATTAATTAACCTGGCAGCCATATTCTGAACACGCTGTAGCTTATAGTTGATTTTAGTATCTCTTGGAAGACTATAGAGTAAACTATTACAGTCTACGCGCCCCATAACCAGTGCATGAAGCAAACATCTGGTTGAATCCAGCGTTAAGTATTTCCTGATCTTTCTTATAATGTGCAGATAGTAGTAGCCTGTACAACAAGTTTTTGTAATTTGAGCATCAAACTTCAGATTTGGATCAAACCAAGAGCCTTG